GCTATAAGAAGATATATTATAATCGAATTGCTTCGGTAAGCTTCGAGTATAGCTAGTAGATTAGCGAGAACCTTCGGGGAGAAGGTCTTACGTAAAACCCCTCTGCTCTAGCGCAGAAGTAAGCGACTAGTAGCTCTAACGAGTAATAAGAAACAGATAGAGTATACGTTAAGAGAGGTAAGGCATTAGCGGTCCTCTATTATATATTAATCTACTACTAACTATAGCGAAAGTAAAATCTACTACTACTCGTTCGGATAGCGTAGCCGTAGGACGGCAGTAGCTATAATACTAATAATAGCTAGCTATAGATTTTAGTTAGTAGGAGTACGAAGTCGCGTCCGTCGTTAGATTATACTTAAAACCTAGAGTAGACGAGTTAGAGTATCTAATACGCTAGAAAGATAAGGTTATCGAAATATATTACGTTAATTACTATCTAGACGAAAGCACGATTAACGGTATTTTCTTAAGATATTTTGCTACTAGTATCGAAGGGATCGGTAATAAAGGATAGTATTAGATCTACTAGAAGGATATATAGCTACTAGAAAGCGCGTATATAAATTATTAATATATAGTGCGTACGTTTTAGGCTAGGCGCGGCCTAAATTATCCGACCGAGATAATCTAATAAGTCCTAAACGCTAACTATTAGCGCCTAGATTATAAAAAGAAATCGTCCTAAATCCCTAAGAGCCTCTAGTAGGATTACTCCGAGCGACCGTAACTAGAGTCTACGTACCGATCCTATATTAGAACCCCTAGCACGATAATATCGACGGTATAGTAGGTACTTAGCTATAGTACGTCGATTCGTAGCAAATAGAATTATTACTAGCTTAATATAGATCCTCTAAGCGACGTAAATTCTTAGAGCTATAGTCGGTAGGACAAAGGCGTATCTTTAGGGCGCAAATAGTTAGATAAGTAACGTAACTTACAGATTCGAATTAATAAGTTAGTAAGTAGAGGAAGATTTACTAATAAACGTAACCTTAAATCTCTAGAGATAGAAATATATCGGCTACTAAATTCCCTAGTTTTTAGAGAGCTCGACCGCTAATATTAGTACGTAAGTTAATATTATATTATTATCTTTACTATACGGGCGTTAAAATAACTTATATTGCCTATATAGTATTTGTAATTAAATCTGCTATATATACGTACCTCCGTAAGATTACTACCTACTTCTATATCGCCTAATATTATATAAGTTAGATAGCGTAATTATATAAAGTTATAGTCGTACTATAGAGTAGTATTATAATAGAGACTATCGTATAGTCTTAGCGCTAGTAATAGTAGATATAATAGATTATACTATTTGCGATCTATTTCTATATAATAGAACTATATTCTATACGCTAGGTATGTCTCGATATCGTATACTATATTCGGCTTCGATAATATAATCGTCGGAACGCTCGTCGCTATAGGAATTGTCTTAACTAGGACTATCGTTACTATATTAAATATATATTAAGTCTGCGTAATAGTTATAGTTAAGGTAAGATCGGAGGATCGAAGAGCCTATTATAAGTAGGCGTACTAAACGTAGTAGAGAGGAGGAATTCCTATAACGAGACCGGCGACATAAGGTATAATAAAATTTATATTTGCTATAGTAATATTTGCGCTTAATTCTCGAAACGATAATAGGTACTATAATATAAACTATAGAGGACAATATACTATTTCCCGAATATTATAGGCTAGGATAGAGCTACTCTCTCGAGTAAGGAGAAGCGGAGAAAACCTCTAGAGGCGGCGTCCGGAAGGAATAAGGAGAGAGGTTAAATTAGTAATATAATAGTAGGACCCCTTCTATAGTGTTTCCTATACTAGTTCTTACTCTAGTTCGGGAGGTATTATATATAGCCGACTCCGAAGCTTACGTATTTGCCTACTTATTAATTTAGAAATACTATCTATATAAGGCGTAAGTATCGAAGCCTTATAAGGTCTAAACTACGTTTACGAAGATATTAATTAAATCTGCGAATTTAAACCGAATACTAAAGCAAAATAGAAGGATCTAAAGTCGAAACTACCGCTCTAACTCCTACTTCGGCGCAGGCGCTAGAGACTAGTCGCGTAGCTAATACGACCTAAGATAGTAAAGTTAGAGGTTAGACGCTACCGCCCGGGAATAGTAAGCTTAATAAGGAGAGAAGAGAAGACTTTACCTAAACTATCGATTTGCTTACTAGAGAACTACTAGAAGATAGTACGCCGATAGACCTATCCTTCCTCCTAGATAGCCTATATAGTAATACGGACGACATTCTAGATTTATATAGAAGTTAACTCTAGTATATCCTAGAATACCTAACTAAAGATAAAGAAATAGAGAACTATAAGGCAAGAGTATATAAAGGTACGCAAATAATATCTCTACTTACTTTAGACTAAATCTTACTTAGCTCTTTCCTATAGTATATTACGATTTAAAGATTCGTATATTTACGAGCCGGTACGAGACGAGCTTTTAGAGTAGGCTTACTTAGGATTTATAGGTAAAGCGCCTAACTACTACTTTAACGAGTATAGAAGGATACGATAGAAGGATAAAAAGATAGATACTACTTTTAAAGATCGAATCTATAAGAACGCGTCTAGATACGATATAGAAGAGAATATAGAGATAAGAGATACCGATATAGTAGATTTGTTCCTATCCGATATAAAGCTATACTAAGTATAGTAGGAGTAGGCTACGAAGTTATAGAGGGAGATCCTAGACTACCTACAGATTTATATTAGTAAAGATAGCGACTACCGAGCTCGCGCGTCGAAGATTAATTATACTATTATAGAGAGGCAACTCTATAATAGCAAATAGCGAGTAGACTTCAAAGTACTATAGGAAGAGATACTCGTATTACTAGTATATAGCGTTACTTATATAGTAAAACCCGGCGACGTATCTCTGCTCTAAGATCGTAGTAGTATTCTCTAGAGTCGTAAGGTTCTATAGGAACGACTTAAACGAAATATATAACCGGAAGAATAGGCGGCTATAATAGATTAAGCTATCGAATAGAAGTCGATAGAGTAGAACAAAGCTTAAGAACAATATATACTAGAGAGTAAGATAGTAGAATAGAATACGCTCTAGCTCGAGGACTTCCTTAAACGCTTATATAGAGGTAGAGCTTATAAGGAACCTTCTCTAGGCCTAGAAGAGGCCGTATCTAGAGGCTTTACTAATATTAATATAAATAGCGGAGTAGCGAATAGTATATATTCGAGTCGAATAGAAGCGATCCTCGAACTCGTAAGGGACGATATAAAGCCTACCTCTCGCAAGAGTATCTATAGGTACGAGCTTAAGCCTAATTATATTATATATAAAGGGAAAGAACGGAGAATCGGTAGACTACGCGACTATAGTCGGACTATTAGAGGTATCTAGGTCCCGATATAGTAAGTCCTCGTTTAGATTACCGACGACGATACTAAGTTCTATATCTAGTATATCGTAGCTTTATCGAAGTTAGGTCCTAAGGTAGCCGAGCGTTACCTAGAGAAGGGAGAGAAAAGAGTAGTAGGAAATATAAGAGGTATAGCCCGAGATATTAGTAATATTAGTACTTTTAACTAGAGAGGAATCGCATTTATCCTATATAAAACAGATTACCGACGCCCTATAACGTTTATTTTTAGTAGTTTTAGCGAGGTAAACGAGTATAACGAAAGCGCTATATTCTAGGATAGAAGTCTACTAGGAAAGCATTTTAACTAGGTATTCGTTAATAGAAGAATCGATCTATTACTAGGGAAAACAAATACTAGTCTATATCCTATACCTAGGAAGGCGCGAAACTAGAATATAAATAACTCTGCTAGGCGCGACAAATCTAATAATATAGATTTAGAGAGCGAAGAAGGATCGAATTTTAAGGAGACTAATCGTAGAAAGTCTACTAAAGATACTCTATATTAGCCTAGTATAAGTAAGGACGATAGAGACTCTACCGAAGTAGAGTATTAAGAATTTCTAAAATTCAAAGCTCGGAGGCGCAAAGTAGCTAAGAAGTAAATATAAAGCGAAGAGAGAAATATAGAACGATATCGCTCGTTTTATTTCTTCTAACTAAGTTAGTTTCCTATATATAGATCGAGCCGTATATAACTTACTGTTTTTAAGCCTTCTAACTTATATCTATAGCTTAAATTATATTATCTCTAGGCGTATTATAAGTAGTTATATTACTTCTTATAATCGCCTAGAGTAACTTAACTTAGTATAGTAACACGTAGTACCTACCTATATCCGCGTTATTTTAACTCGGCTTATACGCGTAGATTTCTCTAAAATAGTAAAAATTTCTTACCTATCGAATCTATCGACTAGTAGCGATCTATAGAACTAGCTTTCTAGTCGTATTATATAGATTATCGAGGTCGAATATATCCTAGTAATAAGTCCTTTCGAGGTTAATAAGCTCTAACGTCCCTCTCTCTATAGAGTAGTACTCTATAAGGCAAGCTAACGTATACGAAACTATAGCTTCTACCTTTACTAACTTAATAGATCTACGTATCTATCGATCCTATAACGTTACTATAAACTATATTCTTCGTCTAACTTACTAAAGATTTTTTAGTCTCGTAGCGCGACTTTATACTTTAACTTATAAGCCGAGGTAAGGTTCTAGGTTTGCTACGCTAGATTATCTTCTACTTTAACTTATAGTATCTCTATACTAACCTTAGAATAATCCTTACTAGCTTTCTTGCTTACCTATAGCTTATATTTAGAAGTCTTATAGAANCCCTGCGGGAAATCGTGCTAACTAACGTTACTTATCTAAGCCGACTTAATAACAAATTAATTAAGAAAGCGGGGCATCTTATCCGGGGAACAATCTAATCGGAGCTTAGTACTAGTAGTATCGTTAACCTATGCTTGCGTCTTTAGTAGCTCTATAGGACAAGATACTAGGCATAAATTAACTGTTCGACTACGATTAGTATAGCTTGCATACTATCTAAACGCTCGACATCTTGTTCCCTATAAAGTTAGTATTTTCTGGAGAACAATCTAATACTACTAGTTACTACGTAGCGAAATCTACCCCAACTCGTACGTTTGGACGGTATCGAAGTCAAGTACTCGCCTATATTCAACATACTGCTCCCTATTATCCTATAAGAATCCTGTAAGCAAGTGTAGTTGTAATATATAAGAATTCCTGCCCGCTATAAATGCTTCCTTGTCTACGCTCCTAATCTCGGAGCTAGTAGGAACGCACTTTATAATGTCGTTAATGCGCATATAGACGACCAAGCCCGCATCGTAGGCGAGGTACGCGTCCTCACCGACAACAGCACGCGCTATCCTCATTACGTCCGACTTCGCTATTATGCTTACGTAGATGCCTATGGTCTCGAACAGCTTCAGGTCGTTCTTTCTCGACTAGCCGAGGAGGGACGTCGGGAACCACGTTTTTGCACCTAGAGCAGGTGGTAGGAAGTACCATGTTATTGGTCTTGAACTGCGCCGGGAATTTGGAGGACGTCGCACATCGAATGTAGATCATTCTTACACAGATAATGCAGGCGAGGAACACATGCTCGTTCGAGATGTCCTCTAAGAGCTTCATGTTACCAACGATGCTGTCCTCGTAGTCGCTGCTCAAAGTGCTTTCGGCCTCTATACTCACAGGTGCTTCGAGCGCACGAGCTTGCTCGACAAGCTCAGCATCACGGATCAGAGCTGGCGAGGGATCGGCGTCGGGCGCTGCACCGGAGTTAGGCTCTTCCACGGAGAACTTGTTTGGCTCGCCAATTGAAGTCGTGTCTGGTATTACGTCCGTCGGTGGGATCTTGTTTACGATCATGGTTGTGGTCCAGGTCCCCTTTTCGCGGTTGATGGTCTTTAGCTCAATGATCCTGTGCGGTCTCAAGTTCCAGACACGTCCCGTCTTAGTGCCGTTCCACCTATGTGTGTCGAAATGCGGGATGATCTTGGTGTTAATGAAGTTGTACGTCTCCATGTCTAGCGACCCTTGACTGGATGCCTTCTTCATCCTCTTCCTCAACTCCTTCTTGGAGGAGAATACGATCTCGTTGCTCTCAAACGACTTGTCCATCTGCGAGTTTACAATTTTGACTTGGTGCAGTGCAACGATAGCAATATTTTCACTGCTGATATCGTAGTCGCAAGCATCCTGTAGGCGACCAAAGCCGACATCTCGACCGCGATACGGTGAGCTGCCGGCTCCACACCTACATGAGGCGGCCCCGGGCCCAGGAAGACAAGGGCAGTCATGCCACAAGTGCGGAGATGGTAGTATTTGACCCTGTGGCATATAGTACCGGTCAGAATGCGGCTCGTGCGATGTTGCCATGAGGCCCGAGCTTGCGTTGGGCGCCAGCCTCTGCGGGGTTTAGCTTCGGCAATCTCTGCGCCACACGGCTTACGCCACAACAAGCCCGCCAGTCAATGACAACAATGCCGACATTGGTAGATCCAGAGCCACTGAACCCGTATATGCCTCAGCCTCTTCTCGCTACCCTCTGTTCTTGCTGCAGGTGGGATTAGGACGCGCTATTATGCAACATTTCTGTCTCACTAATTCGGATCCATTTGGCATGGTAGGAAGTTATGAAGCACATCGTCATCTTCCCGCCGCTGAATTTGTTGCCTGAGGTTTCGCCCTGGTGTGGTTTTTGTGCTCTGCCGCTGCTATGGAGCACAGTTGAGTGGAGCCACCACAACGCACTTTCGCGTCTATCGGAAGTCACCTCCGTGGTGCAGCACTTTACGCGACCAAGGCCAGTCACCTGCGACTGCGATGATTTCACAGGCTAGTGCCTGCTTCCCTCCGGCCGCTCTCGACTTTGCACTAGGATCTGTAGTCCATCGAGCGTAAAAAGCCATAAATCCGTCAAAACATTCCCGGTCCAGTATTTCAAACCGGGACCATGCAGATAGATGAGATGAAGGTGAGGGTGGTAATGGCATGATCGCAGGAATGACAGTATATGGCGGCTGGGATATCTATAACATTGCATAGTCGGGTGCGTGCAAAATGTGCGGCGCGGTGTGGTATATTATACCTGGCGTCGTGCACCGTTCACACCTGCCTGGAACGAATTGCAGTACTTTTTCTCCAGTCAAGCACTTTCATGTCAAACTTGTTTTCACTATCGGCACAACTATGGGCGATATGGGGCCAGCAATGCTAGACTTGCATTCGGCGCAGTCCCGTGCACGACTCAGAGCGATTGCGTCCGCCAGGAAAAGAGGTATCGCCGAGCACATCGCATTACCACAGCTGATCGTATCCGGTGATCAGTCAGCAGGCAAGAGCTCGGTATTGGAAAGAATAACTGGGATTCCTTTTCCTCGACAAGACGGTCTCTGCACGAGATTCGCGACGGAAATCATTTTGGAAGATGAAGATGCAGAAATGTCGATTTCCGTCGCTATTATCCCACACTCGACGCAAACAGAAGAACGCAAGACTCAGATGCTACAGTTCTCCCGATCGATCGAGTCGTTTGCAGAGTTGCCTTTGGTAATAGCGGACGCCGGAACAGCCATGGGGGTGAAGGGCTTCGCAAGCGACGAGGCGGGACTATCTTTTGCGCGCGATGTACTTCAAATCCGAGCCTCTGGTCGCACTGGTCTGCATCTGAGCGTCGTGGACCTACCAGGAATCATCCAGGTACCGAGTGAGGACCAAACGGAAGCAGATGTTGATGCAGTGCATGCTCTTGTCGATGCGTACATGCAAAATCCTCGCTCCATCATTCTCGCGGTTGTCCAGGCGGGCAATGATATCGCTAATCAACCAGTGATCCGAAAGTCAAAAATGTATAACTACTCTGGTAAGCGTACTATAGGGATCATCACTAAACCTAATTTGATCAACCGAGGGACGGAAGGCCGCATTGCCCTGCTGGCAAGAAACGAGGACACGACACGTCTGAAACTAGGATTCTTCCTTCTCAAGAACCCATCCCCTGAGCAAATGAAGAAGGGAATCTCGCAGCAAGAAAGCACTTCATTAGAGCATACGTTTTTTGAATCGCTTCCATAGAATCAGCAAGACCTCGACCCGGGCCGCATCGGTGTGAGCAATTTAAAGGAATATCTGCAGACTCTTCTGGACCGACATATCGAAAAGGAGATGCCGAGGGTTCGTCAAGATCTCAGAGATTTGAGACAAAAAACTTCAAACGAGATCGAGAAAATGGGCAGCGCACGACTTACTATCGCTGATATGCGTGTATTTCTGTCACGACTGGCAATGAGATTCGACAGTCTCTGTTCTTCCGCGCTCCGAGGTAACTATAGCGATTCGGACTTCTTTAGAGCCTCTGAAGAATCGATACCTCCGACACGCCTGCGAGCTGTTGTCTACGCCTCGAACATAAAGTATTCCGACCTTATAAGAACTGCGGGCGAAAAGAGGAAGATCAAGGGACATAATGCTTCCGCTTACGGCCACGATGCTCTCACTGACAGCGAGGGTCCTGGCGAAGCTAGTGAGCCGAGCGACGTGGTCGATAAGCAGATGTTAGTAACGGAGTTGGCGTTCCGACAATGGATTAAGGAGGTACGTCGCTTGAGCATCTCTAGGGTGTTGTAACTAATAAGCCTGCTAGGTGTATGTGAAAACTCGCGGACGCGAGCTGCCGGGGGAGTACAACCACGTGTTCTTGGCGGAATTGTTCTATTAGCACTCTAGCAGATAGCTCCGCCTCGCTGCTAATTATCTTAACTATCTTTATGAATGTCTGGACCGTTTTGTAGAAGCGGTTATATTATATCTTTCTAATAAGGAGCATACGAGGAGCAAGTTACGAGAACGAATAGCCTACGAGCTCGAAAGGATAAAAGTTAATACTAACGAGGAGCTCGCTAGGCTATAGCATAACGAGTCTTAGCAGCCCCTTACTTATAACTATTACTATACGGACAACATCTAGAAGGCGCGGAATAACGCTATACGTAAAGCTCTTAAAAAGGCAATAGACGAGACGACAAGCTACGACTACTATAGATATATATATATTAGTAATAATAGTATCGATATCTAAATATTTCTTATATCGTTATAAAAGCGAGTTATCGTAGATATAGACGAGTAGGTATATTCTAAGGCGAGGGCTACTCTAGTAGTATATTATAAGGTAGGCCTATCCGATATATTAACTAACTTAGCGCTAAATGCTAGTAGGTTGCCCGGAAGACCTTCGTAGATAACCTCTGCTATTAGGCTATCGAGCGGTATCTACTTCGAGATTTGCCGAGCGTATTCTCCCCTTAAAAGGTAGTAGCTTATTCGGATAAAGAACTTCGCTTTCTTATAGAAGAATCGAAAGAGGCGATTAAGAAACGAGAACGCTTACTACGCTTCTATACTATTCTCGAGGAATGTCTATTAGAGCTTCTTTAGTAAGGTATATAGCTATAAGCTTTAGAGACTAACGTCGATTTCCCTTATTCTCTTATTTTATAATATCTCCTTAGCTCGACTATATAGTTCGGATTATATTCGGCGTATAAAGAGCCCTATAAGATCCGGCGCTCTATATAATATCTTTTTTGCAAAGTATTGCGATATTATAGCAGAAATTAATAGGTAGTAGTATATATTCGTAAGGCTAGGTTAACTCGTAAAGATACGAGACTAAGCTCGAATAACGAGTTTTACTCGTAAGGGGTAAGCTACTCTATACGAATAGAATCTTCGCCGTAATCTATCTTATAGCTTTTTACGTTATCGTCGCTTAATCTACTGCTCTCGTATAGCGTCCTAAAAGCGCGATCTTATATATATACTACCTATAATATCGGGGCCTAATCTACTCGGGCCTCTACTTCTTAGTCTTTGCTCTCGGTAGTAGTATATATACTAAAGTATCTAGCGGATAACCTAGTTCTCCTCTACTGCTCTATCGGTATTATAGCTAAGCTCGTATACCGCTCTCGTTATAGTAGAAGCTTCCTTATAGATACGTAGGATTTCTTAGTATATTCGGGACTCGTTAGTTTAGATCCTATAGGAGCGTTATTAGTAGTAGTTCTTAATACGCTCTATTAAAATATACTCTTATACTCTTCGTACGCTTCCTTAGTAATAAGTCTAGCTCTTGCCTCGGCCGCTTTAGTCTAGGCGGCGTTAGTTAAGCCGAGGCTAATAATAAGTAAGAATTACCTTTATTATAGTATATAATATATAGTAAGCGTCGTCCTTTATTAAAAGCCTAATACGCTCTATAAATCTCGTTTTGCTCTCGCTCTTAGCTAAGGCTCTTATTCGAGGTACTATATCTCCGGAATATAGACTAAACGTAGTTATCGAATTTGCGTAAAGGAATACTACTATAATCTCGAGATATATACTAGGTTTATACCCGTTAATTAATATATTACTACCTCCTAATCTAATTGTCCTTATTATACTATATTATAGGCATAAGTCTACTATAGCGCTATACTACTCTAAAGCTCTATATAGTAGTTTAAGGGTTTATACGTCGTTATACGAATATATCTATAACGATATCGAATACGCTAATAAAGAAAATACTTAGAGAATACGAATCGTTTTTACCTATCCTTAGGCTCTATCTTAAGCGTTACGTTATCGGCCGTATTATCCCTAGCAAAGGTAGGGTAGTAAAGCTTATAAAAAGCCTCGTATAATCTTGCGAGATATTTCTAGCAACATTCTACCTTACGAGCGGCGCGCTACCTTAATTAGCTACTTGCTATTAATTAGACTAAATGTCGCACGGCGACTATATACTAGATTATCGCCTACCGACTTATATACGTACTATATTCCGCGATGCGGTAGTCCGGATCTCGCGTATAGCTAAGCAGAAGTATAAATAGAAAGCAGTTAGTACTTAAATGCTACCTACCTACCTTATAGAGTCTATATATTAGTAGCTTAACCGCGAATATAGTCCTGCCTCTCGTTAGGAAAACGGATATACGATTTAAGTACTACTAATTTCTCGAAGTCGTATAAATCCCGAGTAAGTCGAAACCTCTTACTAAAACCTCCGGGAAATAAGCTATCTAATACTATAGCTCGGAGTAGAACTATCGATCGGCTTATAACCTATAATAGGCTAAATCTGTACCTCTCTATATCGAGTAGCGACCTACCCGCAAGCCCCCGCCTAGCGGTTAAGCTCGCGTACTATAACTGTTTTCGTAAGAGGTCGTAATAAGCGTCCGTTCCCGCTACGTAGTTAGAGATACTAAATAGTAAGGTATAATTAGACTATCTTAAGCTCCCGAGCCGCGCTACTATAATTCTCTCTAGTAGAGCTATACTACTATATAATAAGCTCTAATCGATTTGTACCTATATCGTTATCTAGAGGCTACTCGCCTCGAGACCGGTAGGTATAAGCCTATATATCTAGAGGTTATAAAATCGATACGTTAGCCTCGATACTCGATATATATAACTAAGCTCGTATTATAAATATATAATCTCTAGAACTAAGCTCCTAGTATAAAAGGACTAAGACTATATAAAGGACCGTTCTTATAGAAGGAATAGAGTATAACGTAAAAGACTATTACGCAAATATAAATAGTTAAATAGAACCGTCTTTTTCGGTCGATATATATTATATCGCCGGCCTCTAGGTACTTCCTCGTATATCTAGCTAAAATATAAGGCGTATAGGCCGACACTATAGTATACTTACGCAATCTAATTAACCTCTAGCTTAACTTATAGATACTAGGATAGATTAGATCGGACGGCGACCTAGCCGTAAGAACTTACTACGTATCTTAGATACTCGGATCTTATTATCTACTTCTCTGCCGGCAAGCATTATATAGTAAGTATAGGCGCGGCTAATTCTGCTAGATACTAAGTAATAGGAATTATAGAAATATGCGAAAGTAAATTAATAAGGGAACAAATAAGTAGTTATCCGTATAGTATATCCTAAAAGAATTAAAAAGCCGACTACGCTAGACTATATATATAACTAGAGAGATAATATATATTATATACATTGCTTGCCCCCTATATAGGCAGCGCCTTTATATATCGTCTATACTATAGAAAGATCTCGATATAAACTCCTCCTCTAGCTTCCGCTTTTTAGTAGCTAAGTTAGTCCCTACGAGATATAAAGTCTAATTTGGCGATTGTTGCGAAGTTGTCGATTAAAGAGTCCCTATAGCTTGCGTGTCTGTTCCTACTTCGTATAAGATAGGGGCCTAATTATCCGTTAGCACGTATCTATTATTATCTATCTACCCGTTTGCCTATTTAACAAATTAGTCTGCGTCTTAGAAGCAATATATAGGAGACTTACAGCCAGTCGCCGCGCTAGCTACTGCTTGGCGCTTGTCCGCGGCTGCCTGCAACAGTATTAGGAATTCGGTATAAGTCTATTACGAAACGCTTAGGTGCTATACTAGCTCAAATACAGTATAGTAGAAGTCCTGTCGGGTCTTGTTCAAATCCTGCTCTCCTAAGGTGTCGTTATCCGCGTAGCGGATCAAATTACTAAGTATCTCGCTTAGATTGACGAGGAAATTTTGCTCTTCGTCGACGGTTAGGAGGACATGTTTAGCTACAGCGCCACTAATTGTCTAGAGGTAGTTTCTATAGTTCGGTCGCAGCAAGGTCTCAGGCTGCGGTCCTCGAGGCGTATTACGCACGAACTTATGCCTAGGACCGAATCCAAGATGCGCAACGCCGCGACGTATAATGGAAGCTAATTCTCTTGTCGCTATCTCAGTGATGTGGAGGTAGGTAGTTCCTGGACTCCGGCTCAGATTCTCTATTACAGGCTCGGTGAGAAGTTGCGTCGCGCCGAAAAGAAAGATGTAGAGGATTCCATCAGCCCTGAACGGAACTGCGAAAAGCATTATTAGCGTCAGGTAGAGCCGCGGGAGCCCTTGCAGGTTGTCTGTTAGAAGAAAGGAATGATAAGCTAATTGAATACTCGAATGCGAGTATTTGTCCTTATGTACGTGACACTCAAACGCGGAACATAATGTCTTGTGCTAATACTTGGGGACGTGTGACATTGCTCGCCATCTCACAGACTCTACACAGAGGAGGCCTAAGAAACGGCCCTGTTCACTGCCCCTGATCTCCCATGCATCTCCAGTCAAGACCTATCATAGGCAGATGCCGCCTGTATAGCAAATGACACGGCAAAGACCATCACAATCCTCGTCACATCGCTTACTGGACTGGACGGACCTCCACACACGAGTAATGAGATTCGGTCGAGAGTGAAGGGCGCTAAACATGGTTTATAGAATCACTCCAGAAAGCGTTTCTCGCCTTGGGTGTCTCGCTCTAATATCGCATCGTACGGAAAAACTATTTCTGGCTCGGTCACTTCTCCCAACTGTGCCTCGATGCATCAAGCAGAACGGCGCATGATTTTTCTGGTTTCGTAACTGATTACTACATTGATATCCATAACTTGCCTTGAGTGTCATTGCGATGTGGGGAAACCAAGTTGCGCGTGGACCCACCTTCTTCCACATACCCAATCGAAACACTCTGTGGTACTCCCTCATGAATACCGGCTTCTGACACACCAACCCTCCGCCGCTGCATCCTTCTCCATATTGGCCCCGGCCAATCGCGGGGATCATGAATTCCAACTAGAATTTGAACATACTGCAATATCAGCGTACTCGTGGGATGGCCTGGAAGAATCGTCCACATCCAATAAGGTATCAGGTTCCTTGTAAAGATGAGCAAGTATCATTGATGGATGAGGAAGGACTCACAATTGTCGGCTGGCTATGGTTGCAACCGCAGACAAATTCGTGGCCAAAGTGCGTTCGTGCTTCCAAATCACATAGACCTGCATTGTGAGAAGACACCCTTCAGTAGCAGTTGAGAGCGCTGGCGGGACCCAAATGGCCAGCGAGTGCAGTAGCTAGTGGAGCCATCAGCGATTGCCTTCACATCGCGATAGGGTTCTTGTACGTCAGACCGTCGTGCCAGGGCTCGCAGTAGGATCGAAATGATACCCGTAGTCGTAATGCCACCAAGGACGATCCCCATAGCCCGCGAAGAGTGCTTAGGCCAACTAAGATAAGCCAACTCTGCAACGACGGTACCCTCAACGAAAAGCACCGCACAGGCGAGCAGGATACGAGTCGTGTGGTCCTAGATTTCTCTCAGCCAGATAGGTAGCTATGTTTCCGTTCAACTGACCACACCCGAGCTGCCTTGTATTCGAAGGCCCAGCTCACAGGCGCAATGAACTAGCCCGAATATGGCTGTGATGATGGGCATGGTTTGTTTCGCTCGCCGCGAGTAAGTCGGAGGGTGCAGCATTTCGATGCCGGTCCGTCGTCGTGCGGTGCCTGTGCTATGTTCGAGACGAATCGCAGACCGTAGCAGCAACAGCGACTGTCCAGAGAAGCAGACTAGGAAGAATGAAGAGCACACGATGTAAGCAAATGATTGAGGTTCCATTGTCAAGAACGGTGAACCAAGGACGATTGGCGAAGGTGACCACGCAGGTTCAAGGACTTACATATGGCCTCCTTAATGGTCAGTAGTTGGAGTGCATTCAATCCGTTGGCTTCCATATTCAGCGTATTGGAGATAATGGCCCGTCATGCCAAAATCGGGTTGCGTCTTCAGCACCTTGAAGTGCTGTTCACCAGATTCGACATCTAGCGATAGCTATCTTGTGAGGGTCGCTTGCGCTAGACTAGTCACTGGAAGTCGTGTGTGGGCAAGCCTATGATTAGGTATCATGCAGTCCATGCTAGACACGTGCCTTCGATGTAATCCTTTAGCGCCGAGCACGAACAAGCGACACTGAACTAACGGGCCGTGGAACAAAGCTTCCGTCTCTGTCCGGGGCAGGGAGTAAGATTGGTGTCGTCTTCTCGCTTAGCTGGCTCGGCTACGGGTCTTGAGCTCGTTGTGCAGCGCTGAGAGACGCACGGACAGATGAGCAGGCGAGTCGCCTGCTCCGTCGCGCCTGCGTGATACAGAGGTGCCGGACTCCCTCCATCGTGACTTCAGCTTTTTGTCTTCCCTCTCCACAATCATGAGTGTATCTACCTCATCCAACACATTACCAGCGCGAATAGCTGATTTACTCCGTGACTTGACCCCTAGGGACGCTCTCAAATGTGAAGTGTGCCGCCTCATGTACCATTGAATTTCCATGGACTGAAATATCTACAGATCTTCCGGACCGCCTTCTACAACTTTATCGAGCGTGGCGACAGCTATTTCCGCGGGGATCTTGCAACACGCCTTGGAGAACTGACAGGCGGACAACGACCACACAAACGACGGAAGAAAGCCACGTCAGTGCGTTCACCACTGGAGAAACGCGCCCGGAGCTATTTCCAAGAACAAAGGGCACGTGGCAGCGAAGGCAATGAAGATGGCAAGATCGATGACATGTGGAGTGCCGTCGAGTGCTTACAAGCCGCGTGCGCCCGATCCGTGAGCGCCTATGAGGATATTCTGAGGCAATCACGGCCTGCAATCGAAGGGAATCGACAAAAGCTTGCTCTGGACATTTATAAAGCATCCAGCGCGAGTTCATGCACGGTGGAGAGTGGGCGTCGATTCGACCTGCTGCATGTGGAGTACGAAGTCAAGTTGTTGAAGAATAACGTGGACCGTGGTGTGACAGCCACGGGCGCCACCGAAGGCAGTGTTGCAGCTGCTGAGCGTGAGTTTGCTCGACTTGCGAGCGCTGACCCTCGTTCAGTGCGTAATGCGCGTGAGAATGCCCGGCCATACGTCCATGTCGCGACCCATGCAAGTGGATTGGGCTTGGTTCTGATGCTCGGTTCTCAGACTCGCAACTTGTAAGTTGTCTACTGAAAGGTGTGCGAGCAGGGTCTTGCGCTGATCGAGAGATTCAGATGGGAGCGTCAACTGAGCAACAAGAACATATCCTGGATATTGGACTTTTGCAGCATAGAACTTAAGGGAGTCGCGGAAAGAGCACAGGAGTTACAGCCCATCGCTCGAGAGCTCGTGGTGCGCGGGTTTCAGGCTCGTGGTGTGGATCAACGTGAACTTGAAGAGGGCAATCATTTGTTTTCTGCCCATTTTCCTCAGGCGTGCCAGCACAAGATCCAGACTGATGCCATAGACGCCTTGATCGCTGCTGCGGACCATCTCCAGACGAATGCGCAGTTCAGCTTCCGAAGCTGTCCAGATGCACAGGTAGGCGCGACCGTGACGCCAGAGTTGCAGATCGCCCATAGCTCGAGGGAGGAGCATTCAGGCACCCAAGAACATCGTAATATCACAAGGGTGTCTCCACAAGGACATGCAATCGACGCTGGTGAGTTCGAGTTGAACAGTTCTGGCACATTCGTGGACGGACTCTCCAAAGAGGGCGCTCGTGCCCAAATGCAAGAATGCGCTCTCGAACAGTTCCAGTCAGGGCCGGGAGAATATTGGGGATTGGGCGAAGAGTTCGCTGCAGACTCTGCTCTCCTAGATTGTTGGATACCAGAGGAGTCGAACGACTTTCTCCACATTTGGGATGTCACTACGCACTAAGCGACTGACTGATGCCGTCGGTTGTATGCTTTACCCTCACGACACCACCGCGTAAAGTATATAGACGTCGTCGCTTTGGAGATGCGTACCACTCACGCTTAGTGAAGCACCCGATTCTGTTTCTGCGGATGTAACTAGCGCCAACATCCAAGCATTGTCTGCCCTCTGGTCCTCGCTGAATGTGTTGGGCCGAATTATGATGCAGCCCTTCCGCCATGTCAATCGGCCCACTGGGTGTCTATCGGAGAAGTCCTACTTCTTCATTTAGTCCGCTCCTCGGCTGTTTGTGGATGTACTTTTACCTTTTCAAACATCTCCATGGTCTCGGCCAGGATCTCTTGATGGTTTTCCGGCTCAAATAGTAGATACGGTGCCCTCTTCTCGCGTGCAGATCTCATCTCATCTTGCAGCTTATCCCTCATCTTCATTCCTGCGTCCCTAGCCGTTTCTTCGAGATTCTTTCGAGGGGTTTCAGCGAGGGCGATGGAGGCCATGGTGGATCGGGTTCAATATGTCCGTCGAGGATGCGATGACGGTACGGGAGTTTTTGGACTGCGAGGTGGACAGCGCAGAACCAAGTTTGCCCCGCTACTAGCGCTGGGACACAAAATCACGTGTCGCGAGCATTTTCCGCACCAGCATCAAACTGTGAAAAGCATTCTTGGGCACGGCTGGCGAGTCCGTCCCTTTGTACGTACTGTCGGCCACGGATGCATCATCCTTGAACGGCTGTAAGACCCTCACAGCGCGCCGGGGGACGCGAGAGCAAATGGTCAGGTGCGGATACGAAAGAGCAGAGAGATGAGGGAAGCGGTATGTGGACATGCAACATCGAACCCGGCTTGTAGCAGTGTCTGCGCGTTCCCAAACGTAGTCGCATAGGGACGTCTCCCTACGGAGCTGATGCAATGGTCACGGCGAACACCGACGGCTTGATCCTGCGAGCAAGGCACGAAATTGAGCGCTGTACTCCAAGCCACCAACACCGCTTGGCCGGAACGGGAAGACTTGATCGTGACGTCTCACTGGGAACCATGATAGTCTTCAGGTATATAGTGTAAAAACATCAAATGAAGGCGAAGCCTCTGCATTCTCCGCCTGTGATCGATGCACTGGTGTACTCCGAAGTTGCCTCCCCGTGTACTCTTTCATTCATGTGTTGAGCATTCCCTCCGGTTGGACGTCGCCACGATATCTGATGCTGAAGCGGAGTTGCACTTTCGGTATGTCCATTGTGTAACCAGGTTTGCACCTGTTTCGTGGATTTTGGAGGCATGATCTATCAGATCTACTGGGGGAGCTCTTTTTAATACCTCTATCTCAATCGTCTCCCCTCACTACATGGCATATGCACTCCGGAAGCCCTAGGTTCGTTGTTGACGAAATCTCCACACGATGCTCAGCTGGACATCATCATGGTCAATCCTCAAGCTGCACCCAACTACAAGTACCCATGTGATTCCGCGATGGAAGAGGCTTGCGCACAATATAATTGCAGAGGATCTAGAAGCACTGTCCAGGTCTCGTGGAATTTGATAACGATATGGGTCAATGAGTTCTTGTCGCCGTCCCTTGTCGATCAATCTTTTAAAATATTTGCTAGGCAATAGTATGAACCTGTTCGGAATCGAATCCCACCTGGGAGGCATGTCTCGTTCCGAAAGGACTCGATGGCGGAGCTCGAGTTCCATCAGATCGAATATCCGGTTGCGAAGCGTCAAATGATGAACAGGTATTGTAGATCGATGAATATCTGCTCAACTCGAAGCCGTCATTCTTTAGCTACTGTATCGTCCCTGGCTCCATTCTATCAATTGGTGGCGATGTTTCTGTGCACAGATCTCTAGAAACGATCAGATTGAATAGCATGAAAGTCAAGAGGATCGTCTCACCACAGGGAATAGCCCACCAAACTCCATTATCGTGGAATAACTTCGTCTTAATGGTTTGCGGACTGTCTTTGTGCGTAGGACAGGTTGGTTCTACGACATAGATTGCTTTTCCACAACAGACGTGTTTCGCTTCGATGCAGTCGCAGTTCTCCTCGCAGAATGAACATGGGGTTCCTTGTCGCATTTCTGCTTGCGTTGCGTGCATTGCTCACATGCCTGTGGTATGTCAACTCTACTAGCCGTCGACATGGCGCAGGAGCAAAATACCTGTGCAGCACGCGTTGGCTTTCGTCTCGGATTGTAGTCCATGTTCGACGCCGGGCCATGACTTGGAAGCCCGTTGCTTATTGGCTGGCCTGGTGGCGGATATGGATGATGCTGATTGACCATGAAAGTCATGGCATCGGGTGGTTTTTGGCCGTGATGCCCGTGCCGTTGCTGTGGCGGTAGACCGTGAGGCACGCTGTTGGCGGTCGGATGCTCATGGTGAGGTGCGTGGTCCATAGACCTCGATGCTGCGGAAGGGGATGTCGCATGTGCTGCTGCGATCTGGAAGAGGAGCTGCTGCTGCTATGATGCCAAAGCGGCTCCAGTCAGCGGTGGTGCTGGGGCTTGGTATGGGAATTATCGATGCTGGAACGCTGCTGAGCTGAATGGGCGTCGTGCACGAGTGGGAGACGCTGCGCGAAGCGGGGCGAAGAGTCGTGACCGCAGAACGTAAGGCGGCAATTCTCTCTTGTACAGTTCCATAATGCGCAAAGTCTCGAGCCATGCCTGGATCAGCTCGCGGGTCAGCGTCAGATGGGGCCAGAGCAGCATGGCGCTGCCAATGTGATTGATGCAGGCCGCAGGGTTCCTGCGATAGCAGGCTCGTCGCATTACAGGCGAGCCTCGAGCACAAAATGCGTCGCCGGATTCTCTCTACATCAGCTGTTTGTGTGATGGTGACGAGTTCAAGGTCGTCAGCTTGCCCCATGTTCACAATCACTAAGCCGTTTTCGCTACTGCCAGGAAGTAGCAAAAGCGGCTTAGTGCTGCCAAGGAAAGCATCACCAGTCGAACTTGCGCATACTTCCCTTTGACTCGTAATGTCCGCAGAGATGTCCGCCGACACCGGCTTTGTGGTCGTGCCAAAGAAGTACCTGGATCTAGTATGGAAGCATTGCGACCTTTGCCCCAATCTGAGTGTCGAACAGCGAGCTTTCCTGAGAGACCACCGTATCGGACTTCCACGCGCCCCACAACCTCACGTTCCATCAAAGAGAAAGACGACACCGACCCTCGCAAACAACGCGACACCGAAGTCTTCGAAGTCATTGGGGGGATTGAAGAAGAAGAAGGCAAGAGCAAGAGACTCGTTTCTGCGCAATATACCGAGGGCAGACCAGTGGCGCACCAGGCAAGGGAGTGTAGTCCGCGACGAGGAGCATTATGAGGACGTTGTTCGATCTTTCACCACATGCAACAAAAGTGATGGTTCGAACAGGCCTGCATCAAGTGCTCCGAAGTCAGCAAACGACCTAATATTGATTGGGGAAACTCTTGCGCATCTCGTGGATAGCTCACTTCAATCTGCAGTTCTTCAGCGGTCGTTCTCTTCCTTCCGGGCAATCCTTTTTCTCTCGTACTGCGAGCTTCTTGAGAGGCGGGGATTTCCATGCGAGGTGATTGATCAGCTCACAGCTCATGTTTCATCCTTCAGGGAGATTGACCGCAGAAGACTGCGCAAGCATGCATTGATGGTGAACATTCTCATTCAGAGGTCGGTTGACCAAGGATGGGATATTTGCAGGGCCACTGAACTCTTTTTCCTGAGTCAGTTCTCTGTCATTACTCGACTCCTTGCAGTAACTGAATATGGTCTAGATCCGCTCTCGCCCACGTGTCTTCTAAGCATCAACGAAGAAGGCTTTCAAGACATACTCGAGGCGCTTCTAGCCAACGAGTATCTGACCTACAATTTTGATGACTGCTTCAGACCTGAGTACACCATACCCGGTCTCATTGCTCACATGATCAAGGAGGCGGGGATTTCCACAATACTGCACGTCTCTCTCAGGCCCTAGAACCCAACATCGACAGGAATAAAGCTAATTGTCGACAGAGTCAATGAAATATATGCGGCGCTCGGATACAACCATACCCCACGTCCAGAATCCTGCGATCAAGTTCTCAGAGTTCGACGTCCGATCAGAAGCCAAGCCACTCCCGTGTCGCTAGTATTCGTCAGCGACCCGATCCAGAGCAAGGTGCAAGATGAGAGCAGCGAGTCCCGTCAGGGTATGACGTCTGACGCAGCTGCGGACGCTCGTACGTGCGCTCGATCCTTTGCTGTAGACTGGCGAAGTGGCGGACCCGACAGCACACCTGCTACTGAGTTACTTCTGTTGTTTCACGCAATGGGCGATCGCATTCCAAGGATCTTGTTCGATCGTGTCATGGTAAATCAGCAACGGAATATCGTGCATGGCCGACATGACGAAGTCGCATCAAAGACTGCTGGGCTAGACCCGATCGTCGTCAATCTACTGGAGGGCACAGTTCTCAAGCAAGCCCTGGATCGTCTCACGTCGCAGTCTCAGGTCGTTCTCAGCGACGGGACTTATACCTGCTACAAAAAACCTACTCGAGCATTATCTGGGCAGGAACAATATTATTGGGCTTGCCAAGCGTTTGCGCTTTGTTGTTATGTCTTTCCACGTGGTCTTGAATTGACATCTTTGTGAGTCGCCGTACATCTTTGTTCTTCCGGTCACTAATGTCGTGGAGGGATCGTTCTGGTGAACAACTGCTCCAAACTTTACGTCGGACGATAAGTTCAATTTTGAAAAGTGGCCGAGCGCCTCTGCCCGGGATAAATGCCGTGGAGACACTTTTCGCAGCCTCCAGAGTGGAGAGGACAAGTGGAAAAGGAGAATTACTTGCGCTGGTGACACGCTTACAACCAGAGACGACCAGACCGCAAATCCAGGCCGAAATTGTTTACCAGATCAGCGTCGCACTTCGCTCCGGTGGTCACATCACCGAATCGGACAATGTAATGACACAGTTTCTCGATCGTCAAGCATTTAACCCGTCGGACGAACAGTGTTGTCGCATATTTGGACTTCTCGGTCTATCTCAAGCCTATAATCGGATATATCAGTTCGATTTCCATGAAGCTAGCCTGATGTCTCGCAGATGGCGCAGCTCAAGCACCACCCTTTCAGACCTCGATTCCCGCTTGTCCTGTGATCAACTTCGGACGACTGGCCGCATTCTGAAAGGACAAGGCCATTTCAGCGAAGCTAGTCGCTGCTTCGAAGGTTGCCTCTCTGTACCTGGACTTCCAAACTCGAAACGAACACTTGTGATTTGCCATCTCTCAGATGTCTATTGCGAATTGGAATACATCAGACAAACGACAGGCTCCACGCTGGACCCTCAGGCCGAGTATCTCAACCAGGGGTGAGAGATGATAGAATTGGAGATAAATCGACAAAAAGAGAACAGTCGGTATTCTAGAACCTTCAGGCGATTGTCACTGTCTTTAGCAGAGATCGAGATCAGACAGAACCATTTCGACAAAGCCAAAGCGCTTCTGGACGACATCCTGATTCTGTACGATACACTTGCTGAACCAGATGTCGATGACAAAGTTGGGCATGTGCGAGCACTGATATCCCGGGCGCGAATCTCGTCGTTCCCAGAAGCAGAAGGCTACTGGACTACCGCTCTGCTCCAGAACGAAATTTACAATCCAGGAGAGGAGGAGGTCTTCACATGCGGTGTGATCTATCTGTTCATTGCTTTCATACGTGTCAAGTGTGGTGACTGGAGTGGATCGCAAGGTATGTTGAAGAAGGCAATCGAGGTCATTCGCGCTAGACGTCCTCAATTCTTGATTCCTGGTCTGGGGACATATCTGTTTGACTATGTAAGATCGGAATTGGAGGACGTGGTCGACTTCTCTTTGCCAGATGGGGCTTGGTAACTTTAATGCACGTTAGTTTCTGCTCCTCCGAACTTCTCTTGATTTCTGGCCTCAAGCTGATCGGCTTTCGGGACAGCACGTGACTTTATCGGCTTATCTCCGCCTTGCTTACGGCTTCTCCGAGCCACGTAACCTGATTTCCATCTTGGCCAACGTTTCCAACTGTGATTGACCCATGTTAGCGTTGCATGCTGCCTTGCGTGTCCTGGGAGAGACGTCAATACTTCGCCTCGGTGCTAGCGGGAGCTCATGGATCTCATGAACGGTCTGCCCAAAACTACCGCCTCCTCCGCCACCCCCCGACGAAGAACAGTCAACTTCCTCACTGAAAATTCTGTGAAATACATTGAGGGATTTTCTGGACCAATTATGTCAAAGCAGGTGTTCGAGACGTTTGACAGAAACGAAATCACAGATTCGATGCTGGTGGAAGCTGTCAGCTTATTCAACGAAAACTATGGTGTATGGGGAACACATCCCATCGGCTCTTATCCAACGCCGAAACAGGGTGGGTCGCGCAAGCACTATTTTGAAGGGATGGCTAACCTTGTGAATAGGAAGCCGCGTGAAGCTGAGCAAAGACCGCCTGCGAGCCCAATATTTACCCGAAAACGTCGACTGCTCGTATGTGAAGGTTACAATAGAAGGTCGCCTGGCAGGGAATGTCTTTGCCTGCCGATGGAAATTCGAGAAAAAAATAATCTGCTGGATTACTCAACTAGTTGTGCACGGCGACTACCGCGAGCGTGGGCTCGCGGTCAGCTTGCTGAACTGTGTGCGCCGAGATGACGACAATATCTACGGCCTTATGAGTTCGCACCCTGCCGCATGCCTTGCCGCTGCGAAAGCCTTCGCAAGTAATTGGCACACAACCGCTGTTTATTTTGGTCAATGAAGCTCACTGTGTCTCCAGGTGGCATCAACTCGGTTTCCATGGATTTCATTCGCGAGAATGCAGCTGGCATCATGCAAAGGGCACCTATCAAATATGTCCGAGAAGCCACGCTTCGTGGAAATCTTTTCGCGACCGATGATAGCAGCGGTGCTATCTCGTCAGTGTACACTGACTTCTTTGTTGATCACGGAGAGCCTCTTGAGGCATTACGCTGGGTCCGAGAAGGACTGAATTGGCCACTTGGTGAATTGCTTGATGGGCACGAATTCCTATTGATGCTTGAGATCCGTCTTCGAAGTCGATCCAGATCTCGGTCTGCTTCGCAAGCTGGTCGTTGAATCTGTCAACCTCCTGTTCCATTCCTGGGATCAGCTCGAGCAAATAATACGTCCAAAAAGAATATCTACACGAGGGAAATTGTAGTGAATGTATGAACATTGTAACATGGTCGTCTCCGGCAATATCAGTCGCACCTTAACTAATGGTTTTGCTGGGCAATAGTTGGTGGGCTGTCAAGGTCGTCGATTTCTTGCGATCCATGGATCTCTGGGCATGCTTTCCATTCCGCTTGTAAACCTGCCACCACTTGCCGAGGTCAGGAGGACCATATTTTCTACGATTCGTGGGCCCAGGGAAGAAGGAGAATGCCACCAAAGACCTCTTGATCAGACTGGTTCTCAGAGTGAAGACTATGGTAGCTGGCAATTCTCGCTGCTTTTGTAACTTGACAATTCAGCTCATCCCATACTGAACGGCCAAACAGGAGCGTTTCAATAGAATAATTCGGTTGTGTGCAAATCTCCCGCCACGGACATGCAGGATTATGCTGATAAGTCAATAGGAATGAGTCCCCCACTCTGACAGAGGATCTGCAAACATGACAATTCCTGGTCTTGCACGACGGACCGCAGATGTGGTTCCTCAGAACAAGCGCAAACACCTTCAGATACTTCAACTTTTTCAAAGAGTAGTTACCGATATGAAAATTATCGCTGTTGAGAACGGTCGGCAGAGAAAGCATTACAAAGTCATCTTTGATCATTCGACACTGCCGCTAAATGCTTTTACTCTAGAAGTTGGTCCCGTGAGCGCGTATGCTCGGCGCTATCTTGTGCTTGAGAATATGGGCAGGTATATGTGGAGTGGATGGTGGCATGGCTCCCGTCCTCGCAGGTCGCGAAAGCATTGTGCGCTGCTTATGAGGACGAGATGATAGACTGAGCTGATGTGATGGACGAAGTCCTGCCGCGATTGTTTGCTGTTGGCCTGCAGGATGGGATGTATGACCGCCTTGAAATGTATGGCGATCAAGTGGAAGTGCGACGGAGAAGTTATGATGTAGCCGCACGCATGTGCACTCTTATGGATATTGTTGATACGATCATCCAAAGGCCTATCATTTCAGAATCAGGGTGGTTGTTGGCGTGGGCTTTCACACGCTCCGCTCGGAGGACTACTACACCTTTCGTTTTCAATGATCTCTCATGGGCACCTGAGTCAATCACACGTATTGCATCGATCTAGCTATATCGTTGTTGTGACGAAGAGACGAGGTAGTGTGGCTGACAGGAGAGCTCTCTGGACGAGAGCTGATCCTCTGTAAGGCCCCGATATCTGCTCGCTTCGTGTCGTCAAGATCGAATACTGTACTCCAGATGTGTACCGCGACATCAGCGGTGAAACGGAAAATCTCGAGCCTTTGCATGGAACATAGGGGAGACATGGGACGAGCGTGTCTGGGAACCACAAGCCTTACACATCTCACAAGAGAGAGTGCGCCTCAAAAGCTGTGGAGAGCAGCTCACGCCGGCCACAACTTGAGCGGCTTACGTGCCCGTGGTTTGATGTTCGAGCAGGATTAAACTATACCCGTAGGTCTTGGCTGGGCAATACCTACGACCACTGCAGATTTTAAGATCCGGGTGAATAAGCACTTTGCGTGGGGCAATCGAGACCTCAGCCCGTTTCTCTCTTTGACGTCAGACAAAAATTTTGCATGACGACTCTGCCAGCAATATTTTCGTGAGCAGAAACACGGTGTCACATTATGGGAGATAGATGGTGAAGCGCTCGCGGATGATCCGGCTGTGATGGTATGGAGACGAGACAGTATTATTGCTGCATTTAGTCTTGATCTGGAGCTTCGGGAGCACGAATATGTAATCCTGGCACAGATTCCCACTGAATATTGTGATCGCATTATGTACGGGTGAATATGTTCAGGTCCACGTTTCTTGTTGTACTCACTTTCACTGTCGTGTCTACTTGCGGTGGGTCTACAGGGACAAGATCCTCGTGCAAGATCGTGACCAGGATCAAGAGAAGGTGAGGGAGTTGAAACTTCTAGTCGAGTGCTTCATCTTTGGGGAAAAGGTACAGGACATGGTTTTCAAGGACGCCGTTATCGACAGCATGATCGCTTGTGTGAACGCCTCGAACCAGAAAGATACACGTTACTATCCTGTCATTTACGCCGATCGCATTTACGAAGCTACATCGGAAGAGTCACCGCTCAGATTGCTCGTGGTTTACATGTTTGTCTACCATGGCCACAGTGCCTGGCTAGGATCGAGTACGAACGTCGACTTGCTTGTAGATCTTTATAGAAAACATCTCGAGCTTCGTCGGCGTCCAGCCGCAGCATCGCCAATAGCTCTTACTTCTGCACACGTTTATCATCAGAGGCACCCGCTTAACGAGAGAAGTGGCTGCTCTTCGTGAAAGCCTCGAATGAAGCTAGGAAGCCTGCAGTGTTATATACTGCAACCACAGGTCGAAACTCTTCCCCCAAACGATCACTCTCTGGGAAGATTTCGCCGAACGACAGCAGCGAACCTGGTTAGTTTTGAGCAGCATTGCTGAGCTATGGAAACAGCCGCTCCAGGATGGACGAAGCTAGAAGTAAGAGATGCTAAAGCTCGAAAGGGAACGCAGGTCCTCCTTGATCGACTCTTTCACACTCCAAGCCAGAAGTGGGCGACTTTCCCGCTTGCAAGCTCGGCAAGAGGGTGCAGATTAAGACCACGCCGGAGGCGTACAGCCAGAGTTGTTCGCTGTATCCAAAAAAAATTGGACGGAATGTGACTTCTTTGCTGCAAGCAGTAGCAGTCGACCAACTACGAATGCCGTCCACTGACTCGCTCATGCGTAATCGTGATGTAGCCGGTTTCGCGCTCGTTGCATCTTCTCGCTGAGATTTCGACTCTCTTGAGTCAATCTGATCTGTCCAATTCTTGCATCGGCTCTCCTGGGCTTCCCGATTGTCTTGAGCAGGCACGATCGTTGGCTCAGGACTCATTGGCCCCAGAATGCGAACCAGATAGCCAGCCAATTCCGCGACCGAGTGTGCTAGATCGGAAGACGTCAAGCTAGCAATAGTGAATTCTCGACATTCAGCAACTGCCGTAGTTATTGTCCGCTCAGTACCACGGTCATTATGGGCTTTGAGCTGAGCTATCTTCAGTCGCTGGAGGTGTTGGCACAAGGCTTCCATTGAGACATCAGGAGCGGAGTCGTTACTATCGTCGTCTTTACTTTGGACGCCTCTGAGAAATTCGAACACACCATCGCATGCCGCCGTTCTATTTTGGTGCCGCATGGAAGCACTTGAGATAGAAGGTAGATGAAAGAAGGACTCCGCATTGTGGCGATTCCCGCCAGAATTCTCTTCTGTTTGGAATGGTCTCTTAGACCGTCGATTGACCTCACTGTCGTTTGCGGCGTCCGCGCAGCAGATCTGCGGACCCTGGCGCCACTTTGTCTTCCATATCTGGGACAATGGCCTGTCTGCTACATGGTCCATGCAGATATGCCCATTCCAAAC